TGCTGCATAGTATTCCACTGTGTGAATGTACTATAATGGATGCCAAATTATCAAACTGATTATTTTCACCATGTGCTGTGTTTCAGAGGGCCAGCACATTGTCAGCCACTTGCAATCACTGTACAAAATGTTCTCATCTGGAGTGGGCCAGATGCTGCCAGTGTGATATGGTCTTCAACATTCGATGCCAGACCAGAGACAGAACGCAGTGGTCCCTGGTACCAATGCAGCCATATGCTATTTGCAGTGCCACAAAGATACACCCTACCCCCAAGAGGAATAACTTGTCCTTGTCTCTCGCAGGTGATACCATTTACGGCCGTGTGATGGTAGATCCCGTGCAGAATCTAGGGGAGTCTTTCTACTGCAGCATTGAGAAAGTGTTCCTGTGCACTGGAGCCGATGGCTACGTCCCCAAGTACAGTCCCGCTAATGCAGAATACGGCTGCCTCGCTGATTCACCTTCGCTGTTATATAGATTTAAAATCGTGGTAAGTGCTCTGACCCAGCAATCAAACAGATAGGTTTTTGAGACTAAGCTTATGTGCCTGATATCTGGAAATGATGCTATCTTTTAAGGTTAGATCAACCAACAAGTTACATTTTATGATAATCTACACCTGCAGAGAATAGATGTGGATGCATCCTTGCTTTGCCCCTTTTAGCGTTTTCTAAAGCTGTCATCCTCTCCCTTCACCATGTAAAGGACAAAGCTCAGCCGGAGACGCAGGCCACCAGCTTTGGAAATGTCTTATTTAATGCCAAACTGGCCGTGGATGACCCTGAAGCTACACTCTTAGTCAATCAGCCTGGATCAGATGGATTTAAAGTGGACTCAACACCTCTCTTCCAGGTAAGCCAGTGGCAAGATGACTTTTGGGAGATGTCCAATCACATGCAAGTTACTCAACCCATCTAGAGCTACAAAGTAATACACAAAGTTGCTAACTAAACAAGTGGAGGTTCGAATCCACCCAAAGGTATAAAAAAAAAGTACAAGCATAACCTGGAGATGGTCTACTTTTGAAATCTGCCATTGAACACCCTTGTGGACCACAATTCTGCTCTGACACACATAGTATCTGAGTTATAAGGCACTGGTATCTCTCCCTCTCATGCCTCAGATGTTGCATGGGTGAAGGGCAGTGATAGTCCTTGCTCTTACATCTCACATGAACTTGGAATAAGACAGTGATTCCAAACCACAAAGTACCACAATAGCAATGTCCTGAGCATCCTATAAACTCCAGCTGCTATTTTCATCAGCATATTAATATTATGTGTGATGTAGACCCCTATTCTGCATATTCAGAATATGAATTCAAGTCTGATAGTGGGGAGTTCTGCTTTTCTTCTTCAAAACTTCCTCAATGTGACTTCTAATAACTCTTTGTTAGAACACCCTTAACTAGAATAATCTGCTCACGAGAGCAACTGTGCACAGCACTTAATTCTCTAAGGCTTTGTAAACCAAGATAGAAAATTCAGACCCAGAGATAGAAGTTAGACAAGTGGCTAGAAGTGTGAACATCAGAAGACAGGCGAGGTTGAGGTGCAGATGCACTCCCGCTGTGAACACCTCTGGGTACAAGCATACCTAATATGAGATGTAATGAAAATTGTCCACACAGCATGGAGCATTGGAGAAACCTGTTACCCTTACTCAGGCTGTGGAGACAGGCTTAAGAAAGCGTATTTGCTATTCTGCATCTTTTCAAATAGGAAGTTGAAGCAGAATACTTTTTTCTGCTTGTTTTTCTTTTTACTTTCAACTCCCAGTCTGTGAGCTCTCTAATCCTGAATGATTTAATAAAGATCAGTTAAAAAATCCCTTCATTGCTTGCACAGGCCCTGGGGAAACAGACTTTCCCTGTCATCTTACATGTTGCTTAAGCAGCCTGATTTCCAAGAAAAGACTCCTGGATTGAAGTTCAGCAAGTCTCAGCTCTATTCTTCCCTCTGACACTAACTAAGGGACATGGGACAATTCACTGAACATCTCCTTTTTTTGTTCCACTATTCTTAATCGGTAGCATCAGGATGGATGGCGAAGAGATTGAGATTGTTCACAGCTTCAGTTTGCTCGGCTCCACGGTCAACACTCTTGGCAC